ATATATATAATAATTTATATAATAATAATTAAATAATTATTAATTTAAAATTAAAATTATTACTCTTGGACCTTCACAGGAAAAAACTGCTGATTCCTATTCTATAACCTCACTCTCCTTTGGTTTTCTTGCTGTGTTGAATCCTAGAGCTGGGAGCCAGTTCTAATGTAAGATTGTGAAAGCTCAGATTAAAAATTGACTTGAAGTACTAGGGCTGGGATTGTGGCTCAGCGGTAGAGCGTTCCCCTAGCACTGGCAGGACCCAGGTTCGATTCTCAGCACCACATAAAAATAAAGGCATTGTGTTGTGTCCATCTACACCAAAAAAAAAAAAAAAAAACTGACTTGAAGTACTGAAGGAGCACTACTCTTTTCCTTGCCAGTTGGTTCAAGTAATAGTGCCTGATATTTATTCATATAAAAAAGAAAAACTAGGGCTGGGGTTGTAGCTCAGTGGTGGAGCACTTGCCTAGCAGATGTGAGGCACTGGGTTCAATCCTCAACACACATAAAAATAAAGGTATTATGTCCTTCTGCAGCTAAAAAAAATTGAAAAAAAGAAAGAAAAAAGTATCATAGTAAATATAAAGATCATAAAAGGCACCTTGCTGGGGAGTTTCTTAGCATTATCTAATTTCATTTCCAGGACCAGTTCTGTTTTGCAGATGAAAATATTAAAGCAAAATTGGGCAGTGCTCTTGACCACACAACTAAGATAGCCCTGTGGCCCTTGCTCCTAACCACCACTCCAGCCTGCCTTCAGAGGACACCACTGTCTTAGAGCAAATATAGTATGTGGGACTGGGTCAGTTTTCCAAGGTTAGTTTGCAGTTTTGGAGTACAAAGTCACATTAGAAAACTAGAAATACAGGAGAAAAAGGGTTTTTATCCTTTCCTTTCCTGAGTTTTAACTTTGTGATAATTTACAGTGGGTCTAGGATCTTTCTTTATTAGTGGGCATGGCCCAGGGTGGGACCAGCTTGTGCACAGGAAGCTCATTGAGCCAGTATGTTGAACCTGTGCATCATCATCATGCCACACTGATTCTTCACCTTTGCAGGTTGGTGGCAGAAGAATTCTACATAGTGTTATGAATATGTGAAGAGCTCCACGTGTGTGTGGTGAGTGTGTGTGTGTGTGTGTGTGTAATGAAGTAATGCATGTGATGATGGTGCTAAGGCATAGGGAGAACTTCAGGGGTAACAACAAATGAATGAAATCAAGCAAAAAATGCCATATGTGTTTTAGGAAAATGCTTGAATTCACCAAGTAGCAGAAGCAGTAGACCAGGAAGGGCATTCCAAAGAAGTGAAGCCAGGGGCAACAAGAGGTGCCCCTGTGGTTGAATGGAGAAATTAGCAATCCTGTGGGCAGGAGGTCCAACAGCCAACATCCCAAATAGGACGTCAGGACCCCCATCCGCCTATGAAGGGCCATTTCAGAGTCTTGAGTGACCTAAGACTCCAAAGGCTATTCTTTTTCTTGCTTAAGCAGAGCTCTCTTTGAACTGGCAGCCATGCAAGGATATACTTATATCATTTTGTTTTTCCCTAATGTTGCCACCTTGATCTGAATCTATATGCCTTGGAGTTATTAAAGTATGGGATGTCATGCCAGGATTGATCCATTTGCAGATAATACACTCATCTTTCAGGATTCCTTTGGCCTAGAATTCTATTAAAATTCAAGCATGAAGGATGAGTTGGAAAAAATTATGGCCTACAAGGAAATTTGCTGTCCAGGAGGGTAGACAAAGACATATACAACCAGCTGTAGGACAAGGTAGACTTCAGAGCTGTAATTGTAGTACAGGGAGTAACAAGAATAGAGGGAACAAGATTAATTATAACTTGAGGGAACTAGAATTTTGTTTTCTTACCTTTCTGTTTCTTTTCTTTATTCTCCCTTTTTTTTTTTCCCAAGAGCTTAAATGTGGCTGCTCCAAAAATTTGCCCTTTTTTTCTTATGTTTGAGTTAACTGGAAATCTTAACCATTCTGTTGGCTTCCCTTTTGCTCTGCCTTTAAAAAAAAATGTGTTAAATAGCATATGAGATCTACCCTTCTAAAATTTTTAATTGCATAATAAAGTTGTATTAATTATAAATGTAATGTTATAGAGCAGATTTCTAGAGTATTTTCTTTTTGTATGACTAAAACTCTGTACCTATTGAACAGTAGCTCCCCATTTCCATCTTCTTCCAGCCTCTGGCAACTGACATTCTACTTTCTGTTTCTAAAAGTTTGATTACTCCAAATACTTCATAGAATTATAATCATATTGTATTTGTTATTTATTTATTTATTTCGGTGCTGGGGATTAAACCTCATGTATGCTAGACAGGCACTCTACCCCTGAGCCACATCCCTAGCTCCAGTGCATGTCTTTTTGTGTCTTACTTCTTTCACTTACTGTAATATCCTCAGAGTTCATTCATGTTGTCCCATATTGCAGAATTTCCATCTTTTTCATAGCTAAATAATATTTCATTGTATGTGTGTACCACAGTTTATTTATCCATTTATGCCACAATGGACACATAGGCTATTTCTACTTATTAAATATCGTGAATAATGTTGCAATGAGGATGGAAGAACAGAAGTCTTCCTGAGACTCTGATTTCAATTATTTGGATGAATATTCAGAAGTGGAATAACTGGATAATATGGTAGTTCTGTTTTAAAATTTTTAAATATATTTTTAGTTATAGATGGACACAGTATCTATCTATCTATCTATCTATCTATCTATCTATCTATCTATCTATCTATCTATCTATTGTGGTGTTGAGGATCAAACCCGGGGCTTTACATGTGTGAGGCAAGTGCTCTATCACTGAGCTACAACCCCAGCCCTCTGTTTTTAATTTTCAAAGGAACTTATATACTGTTTTCCATTGCAGCTCTTCCATTTTATACTTCTGCTAACAGTGCACAAGGGAACTGCACACTCATTTCTTCTGCTGCTCTTCAGCCTGATTCTTCTGTCCTAGCAAATAAACTGCCTTCCACTCTCTTCTCATCACTCTGCACCTGCCTCCTTTCTTTCGGTTCTGAAACATGTTCAGTTATGACTTTGACATGTCCTTAAAAGTCCAGGTCAGGTTAACATTCTCCATGCCTCCTTCCCTGACCACCTAGCTAGAATTACTTTTCTTCTGCTGAAGACCCATTGTGTCTATTGCTTTTGGGACAACTGGCAGAGATTGTTGCTTTACACTGGAATGGATTTTACATGTGTATGTTTTATGTTAACTGAACTGCCATCTCCTTAAGAGCAGAGATTGTGTGCCCCCACCTGTCAGTCCCTCAGAGTATTTTACAAAACAACTTTCCATATTGTAAAGAGGCCAGGAGTCCTAGGAAGGTGTGTGAGTGTGTGTTCTAGGTTTAGAAGACAGGAGCTGAACTTTAATCCTGAGTAGGCTCTGCTAACAGACAAAGCACAGGTCAGTGTCAATCCTAAGAGAAAATGAGCTGGACAGGAACACAGATCAGTGACCAGGGCCCTTTAGTAAGTGGGGATTAGAATGGACAGGCAGGTTTACATAGGAAGGTCATGACTGTAACCTGAGATCTGCTCTGCTGGATTTTGGCAAGCAGGGTTGACAGGTGTTTGCTGGGAGCCAGAGAGAAGCTGTGTTAACCTCACAATTCTGCAGGAAGTCAGAACAGCTGCTGAAAGCAGGGGCCGACCTAGCTGGCAGTCTGACCATCTCCAGTAATATCCTGTTCTGGAGAGTTCTTGTCTTCCAACCCAGTGTAAGGCAACAAAGTTGTCTGAGTGGTTAGTCCATGACTAATCTGTAGGTCATCTAGAAGCCCCCACAAAAGCTTTTAGGAGGCCAAGGTCCAATACAGGAAGGCCTCAGGGGAAAGCATTGGGCTAGACACCTCACTTGGCTCTTGCACTAGTCCTTGTCTTTGTCCTTGTCCTCTCTGCCAGAGGTTCATAATATCCACAGAGGTCTTCCACCTAGTGACCATTATTATCTATTTTCATAGACTCCCACTCTAAGAACCTGCCCTTTACCCTGAGCTCCAGCAGCCTGCTGTATCCTGATGATGCCATGCCAATTTCTGGTCCCTGTGTTACCTGGGAAGATTCCTGCCAGGTGACTGGTTATGGGACCTCATTTTGTACTTACGCAATGTCCCAGAGTAGGCCAAAACCTGCCTCATGTGCATCTGGGGAAGCTTGAGAACCTGGCCTCGCCTCTCCAGGGGGATGGGAAGTGAAGAGAGGTAGGTTGTCTGAGCTGCATGGTACCTCTCCTGCTCGCTGTCCTTTTCAGCTTCTCCCTCACCCTTTCCCACTCCTCCAGCTGTTATTATCCTGGGGCAATGGTTCCTAAACCTGACAGATATGTAGAATTATCTGTATGTTAGAAAAAAGGAAGAAGTTCTTAGGCTGTATCCTCAGAGAGTCTCTTTAGGGCATGGGAATCTGGCATTTTTACATAAGATATACATGAAAGAACTGCGGAAGGATGGATGAAAGACTTACTGAGTTGCTGAGTAATTATTTCTTTCTTTGTCCAGCTCTTCCCCCTGCTCCCCGGACTTTCTACAGTGATCATATATTTCTTTAGGAATCAGAGAAAGAATAGATGTCATTAAAAATAAAAATCAGGGGCTGAGGTTGTGGCTTAGCAGTAGAGTGCTCGCCTAGCGCGTGCAAGGCCCTGGGTTTGATCCTCAGCACCACATAAAACTAAATAAATAAAATAAAGGTATTGTGTCCAACTACAACTAAAAAAAAAAAAAAGGAAAGAAAGAAAGAAAACCAGGGGCTTGTGTTGTGGCTCAGTGGTAGAGCATTAGCCTCGCAAATGTGAGGCACTGGGTTCGCTCTTCAGTACCACATACAAATAAATAAATAAAATAAAGCTATTGTGTCCATCTACAACTTAAAAAAAAAAAAAAAAGAAAACCACATTTCATTCCAAAGTGATCTTGCAGAAACTGCTAATCCTCTCAAATTTATTCCTTTTTTCCACAGGGGGACTTGATCTCATCTTCATGCCAGGTCTTGGGTTTGACAAACATGGCAACCGGCTGGGGAGGGGCAAAGGCTATTATGACACCTACCTGAAGCGCTGTCTGCAGTGTCAGGAAGTGAAACCCTACACCTTGGCCTTGGCTTTCAAAGAGCAGATTTGCCTGCAGGTCCCAGTGGATGAACATGACATGAAGGTAGATGAAGTTCTTTACGAAGACTCTTCACCATCTTAAGACCAGATGACTACAGCCAAATAATCAGTGTTTTGTATCAGAGTTAGGAATATATGTATATTTTTTCCTGTGTCAAAAATTAATTGAAATTTCACATTAAATTGAATATGGACTCGGATAATTTTTAGTGTAAATATGAAATACCTAATATTAAATTGTCTTTTGAAATCAATATAAATGTGAATACTAGAATATTGATTAAAATGGAGGCTATCACCATATGATTTTCAACATAATTTCCTGGTGTTAATGTGACAAGTTGATCTCTCGGTTTTGCAGTTTAAGTTAAATATTTATGAGGAACTGTGTTCTAACTCAGAGTGTGAGAGGAAGGTAAACACATGGTGGGTGGACACTGTATTTCATTTTGGCCTGTCATGGGCCTGGCCAGACATACAGAGACTTGGAGCTTATTAATTGATTTGTCGGTGTTTGTTTTAGGTACCAAATTTCCTGATAATATTGTACTTCTTCATCATGATTTCATTTACTCACCCTGAAATCTGATGTTTGGCACTTTGTAGTTGTTGGTGGTTAATGTATGAAAATTTTTGATGATTTAAATATTTTCATTTAACTGATTGGTCTCTCTCCCCGTTTTGTGTGTCACTTTAAGATCTGATATAAGTTAGGAATTGTGTCTGTTTGCTCATGGGTTCTGTTTTGGAAAATGAAAGTTGCTGTGAGCTGAAGGTTGGCAGATGGCCTCACAGCTAGATTGTGGTAATTTTGTTGGTGGGGGAGGATTTGGTTATCACCAGAAAACCCAGGAGTCTTCCTGGACTCCACTCTCCTCTCATTTCCTACCTCCTGCCTGTCACCAGCTCCTATTGATCTTGCCTCCAAAATGCGTCTTACATCTGCTCTCCTCTCCATTGTCCTGCTGCTGCTTTTGTCCAGCCCCTCAGCATTTCTAAGTGGAATTAGGCAAGCGTCTCATACCTGGCTTCTTTTCCTCCAATGTCTTTCAGAGTGGTCTTATAAAACACAAATCTGATCATGAAGCACTTCTGATTGGAGTATTTTGGGGACTCTTCAGAGCCCTCTGGGTTTTGGTCTGATGTCTTCTATTGTGTACAACATCCCTTAGGAGAGGCTACCACCTTCCTTTTTCCAGCCTCTTGTCTTTACACCCCATATTCTCCTTCTATGCCACATATTGAGCATTACAGGCTGCTTCTGTCCTTTGCACTGAGTGAACCCTTTTGGCTGAAACACTCATTTTGTGCATCTGGACAACTGCTATGCCTCCTCAGGACTGTGCTCCTGCTTTGCCTCTCCTGTGAAGTCTTCCTCTGCTTTCCCAGGCAGGTTTATGTTCCATTCCTTGTTTGAACAACTCTGGCTATTCATCTTCTTGTCCTCTATAGCACTTATTAGTTTACATACTTCACAGAACTGTGAGTGCCAAAGACTTCATACTTCATAGACAATGAGACATAGAATGGGTGTTTGAAAATATTTTTAATGAGTTAATTGAATATATTTAGATGTATTTCACTTAAAACATAGATCTACCATTCTTTGGATTCATGATTCATGATTTGGATTCATATGTGATTTATTATTTCATGCACAAAAGTAGGAAAAATCCCACAACTTTAAAATGTCAATGGGCTAAAGATGGATCTGTACAGTTTAAGATGTACAATGCAAAATGGGAGAGAAATGTAATTCCTACAAGCTATAAAGTCATATTGTTATACTGGTTAAAAACCTTAAATGTTACTTCAACTGTAAGGTTAAGGTGAATATTAATATGACTGATGTGACTATTGGTCTGAAATTCCCAAGTTACTGCAGATCAGGTAAGTTTTGCCCAATCAACTCAGTCCATGTTATTCTTCTACCAAAAGACGGTGTTTAAAACCACTCAGCCATCTTCTTAAGTACAGGTAGAACAGGTAGTCAACTGGCCAGAAGAAGCAGGGTGCTGAAATTCAAGAAAGCCAGGAGGCTTCAGGGTCTCCTATTTATAAAGAGAACCATTTCCTAGTAACTAGTAATGCACATAGTGGTTTTTATGCAGAGGGTATTAGAAGGGAGAATCCTTTCCTCCCATGATGCAGGTAATAAGGACACTGTCACCTGATTAGGACATAAACAGAGGATGAGAACAAGACCTTTGACTCTAGGAGGTACAGGTCAACAAGAAGCAAGAATGATGAGGCTTTCAGGAAAGGGACAATCCAGGTAGAAGGGAGAGAAATAGCAACTAGGACTGAACAGAAATAATTCTTAGTCTTGGGAATTGGAAACATCTCAGCCCCAAATAAGTTTGTGGTATATATTCTGCAGAGTTGTGCTTACTTAGAAAGTGAACTATATGAAGTTGTGGATAAGAACAATATATGTGGGGCTGGGGTTGTGGCTCAGCGGTAGAGCACTTGCCTCGCACTTGCAAGGCCCTGGGTTCCATCCTCAGAATCACATAAAAATAAATAAATAAATAAAATAAAGTAATTGTGTCCATCTACAACTGCAAAAAATAAATATTAAAAAAAAAACAATACATGTTTAATCACAATGGCCTTCTAAGAGATTGATAAATATGTTGAGGCATGGATGGCTTATTGCAGAAGCTTAGTTCCTGGCCTCAGTTGTTTTGTTTTTCTTTTAGAAATCATTGAATTCAGTTACTCTCATTGCATTTTTAAAATATTTTTTTAGTTGTCAATGGATCTTTATTTATTCATATGCAGTGCTGAGAATTGAAACCCGTGCCTCACACATGCTGGGCAAGTGCTCTACCACTGAGCCACAACCCCAGTCGCTCTCATTGCATTTTAATCTTTTTTTTTTTTTTTTTTTGTGGTCTGGGGATTGAACCCAGGGGTGCTTAACCATTGAGTCATATCCCCAACCGTTTTTAATATTTTATTTAGAGATAGGGCCTTGCTAAGTTGTTCAAGCTGGCTTCAAACTTGCAATCCTTCTGCCTCAGCTTCTTCTAGTGCTGGGATTACAGGCATGGGGCACTGTGCCTGGCTAATCATATATTTATATACTTTCTCCACTAGACTACAGCTCCTTAAAGACACCTTCCCTGCCAAATTTGTGTTTTGCTTCAGAACCTACCTCAGACCTCAGCACAATGTAAATACCCAATAAATTCTTTATTTTTTGTGGTACTGGACATTGAACCCCATTGCAGGGTGCATTACTACTGAGCTACATCTCAAATCTTGATTTTTTATTTTGATACAGGATCTAAGTTTTAGAGGCTGGCCTTGAACTTGTGATCTTCCTGTCTCAGCTTTTTACATTGCTGGGATTATAGGCATATGCCACCATGCCTGGCCCCAGTAAATTCAATGAAAGAATGAACCAGTTTGAATGTTGCCCTCCATAAAAACACAGTTTTTTTTTTCCTTCAGTCTCTGTGGGCACCAGTCCTAAATATATGTTTTCTTCTATGCTTAAAAATAAATAACAGATTTTTCTAAATAATAATGTGCATGTTATAAAACACACAAGAAGGATGAGATAAAGTTGAAATAGGATATATTAGATATAATTTATATTCATTTTTAAGAACAACATGATTTAAAAACTTATTTTTTATTTATTCCTTCTTTCTTCCCTTCCTCATTTCTCTCTCTTTCTTGCCTGCCTGCCTCCCTCCCTTCCTTCCTTCTTAGGGCCTTGTGCATGCTAGGCAAGTAATCTACCACTGAGCCACACATCCAATCCCCAAATTCTTTTTTTTTTTTTTTTTTTTTGGTACTAGGTATTGAACCCAGGGGCACTTATCCATTGAGCCACATCTTCAGCCCTTTTTTGATTTTATTTAGAGACAGGGTCTTGCCGAGTTGCTGAGGCTGGCTTTAATTTGGGATTCTTCTCACTTAGCCTCCCAAGCCACTGGGATTACAGGCGTGTGCCACCGTGCCTGGCTCATTATTTTTTGAAAACCTTATTTTAACACATTTTTAATGACTCAGAAGTCTGGTTTTAATTTCAGTAACTGGTCTTAAAGGCTTTTTAGCTGAAAAAAATACTTCCAGAGATAAGCAGATCCAGTTGGATATAGTGCTGTAGTTACTAAAATTTTTAATTTTATCTATTAATTTCACAGTGATATTTTAAATAGAAATATAACTAGTCAATATACATTTTCTTGATGTGGATCTGTCATTCTTACATATTAAAACGCCACCCATTTGCTTTGTTGACAGATGGGTTCAAAACTTATTGAACTTCTTAGAAAGATTTTAAACCAAGTTAAAAAAATTCTGCTTCCAATTTAGTTGTGTAGATATGAAAGCATTTATAGATGTCATGGTTTTTGGGAACATAATCATATAATGATGAAAACATTTTCATTTTTAGTATGCTCCCTCTTTGTTTGTCTTCCTTTCTTTTTCTTTCTTTCTTCTCTCCCCCCTCCCTCCTTCCCTTCCTTCCTTCTTTCCTTTCACTGGGAATTGAACCCAGGTTCTCAGGCATGCCAGGCAAGTGCTTTCTGAAAGTAGTTCACGTCTGACTCATTGATGGAACATGACTTTTACCCTGAAGATTCAAATTAGATGCATTTATTTTTAAAAAATGTCTGCTTAGTTAGCAATTTACTGGTGGCCATTTGTAATCTCAGAAAAGTTAGAAAAATTGGTATCTTTGCTTTTGGGTTAAAAGTACAAGCAAAACTCATCTTCAGGTTTAACAGCTTTTAAAAAAGTATTTTACCTTGAGATAATCAGAGAAATTGCAGGTGAATCAAAATGTGTACTCATGTGTACTTCTTATTACATCACAAAGAGTTGTAAATTTTATATATATATATTGCAATGCTAGAGATTAAACCTGAGGCCTTGTGCATGTGAGGCAAGCATTTTATCTCTAAAGCTACATCTCTAGCCCTCTACTATTTTTTAAAGATCCTAATTTTATAAAATTCACACCAGTGAAACCTACCACATGTGAGATATATCTTATCTGTGAATTATGTGGTGATGCTATTGCTAAATATTTAATGTACAATTCACCACTTTACCTTTAAAAGAAAATCCAAAGTAGCCATTCTGTAGGGAATGGAAACTTTGTTTGCCTATAAGACTTGTTTTAAAAGTTTTTTTTTTTTTGGGGGGGGGGTACCAGGGATTGAACTCAGGGCACTTGACCTCTGAGCTACATCCTTATCCCTATTTTGTATTTTATTAGAGACAGGGTCTCATTTAGTTGCTTAGTGCCTCGCCAAATTGGTGAAGTTGGCTTTGAACTTGTGATCCTCCTGCCT